CCACTCATAAACATTCATCTTTTTCATTTTTTGTAGATTTCACACGAATTTGTTATAGAATCTACCATAATCCTCTTAGAATCGTTACACCATTCTCTTTCATCTTTACCTCTTGAGGAATGCAATTTTTATGTAAATTCACTTTTTTCACACCCTTTCGAACAATCCTTTTTATCACACATTAACCCTGATTACACTCTTAGTTGTATATGGAATCTTTTATTTCATATTTACGTGCTCCCAGTATCAATGTATGCTTTTATCATACCGCCACCTAATCCTCTCCAAATCCCTTTACTACCATTAGTCATTACTTCACACTCAATTCATCTGCAGTTGCAATTGTATCAATCCCTTAGGTAATACCTTTTGTTTTTTCATCTTTTTAGACTCATCTACAAGGAGTAGAATCGTTTGAATTTTATTTTGGATTTTTTCAGAGTTACTTTTTCACACCCGTTCCGTAAACCAATTTTGTACACGTGTCTACTTTAAAGATGCATGAGTTTTTAATAATTTAATTTCAATTCTTCGAACTACAATAACTATGTTTAATTACCCTCCCATTCATCCAAATCTAATTTGGTCAGGAAGTGCCTTTAGTAATGGTTGGCGCGATATTCGCTTTCATTCATTTCCTTTATAATTTCTTTTTCCTAGACACCTTCACTGATTACTTTTCCTGAATGGAACTACAGGCAATTATTTTATTTTGCAGTTTTTCTTGCGAGACATTCCTTCAAATCGCGAACTCTTTATTTTGTATAATGATACCGCATTTTTTATAGAAGGTAATTGTATTTACCATGTAATGCCACATGTATGTTTTGCACATCGTCCCGCAAATGTAAATGGCACGATGTAGAAATGATTTCGTGCCGTCTCTTTAGGCAGATGGGAACGTTGACATATCCCAAAATGTTGCTTATGACTTCTCGGGGCCCACACACTTTTTTAGGCGCACACAAATCAAATAGATACTTGTTCTGGTACAGTAATTCACAATCGTTCAAAATTCTCACGTCGCTCATGATGCGTTTGCTTTACCGCCCTCGCTACGAATGATGAGAAACTGTCTATCCCTGAAGTTTTTTAGGGAATATCCATCGGTCGTTCGTTGACGAGACGCCGTCAAGAGAATTGACATCTCGGACAATGGTTCCGACAATAAGGCATATGATACCGACAAGATGTACATTGATACCAAATTTCTGCCGGTTTATAAGCGATTGCTTTACTCCAACTCACATGTTTAGGCATCATTTAATTTTAAGTAAAGCAATCTTCTCGGTAATTTCTTGTATACACTTTGGCAAACATACTTTTCGCAATTCTCTGATTTCTACACTGTACCATGCTTCTTTCTCTATTTCGTCAATCAGTATATCGCATTCACATGTAAAGTCTTCAACGGAAGACATCGCTAAAACGAAGCAAGTGAGTACGAAACGACCGATTTATATACGCTATGTTTTATGACAGCTTGTCAATCAATACTAGACAGACATTTACGTTAAAAAAACAACATTTATTTCTACATCTTTCATTACGGCCTGGTCGGCATGCGGTGAGTATTCATTCCATTTTTTTTCTGATTTTTTTCAGTTCTTTCGACACTACATCCCTTATCTCTTCGACTCTTGTCTCCTCCGCCTTTCTTTTCCGCTCCGCCTTTCTTTTCCGCTCTGCCTTTCTTTTCCGTTCCGCCTTTCTTTTCCGTTTCGCCTTTCTTTTCCGTTTCGCCTTTCTTTTCCGTTCCGCCTTTCTTTTCCGCTCACTCATTTCCTCCTTGCCTTAAAGTTCTTTTAATTCTTCTTTCATATCAGCAATGTACTCCCTCAATAGATACTTGAGGAACAGCCAGCAGTACGTTCCCACTCGATTTTCCCGCATCATGCTTTTAAATGGAATCTCTGGTAATACATCTTCTGCCCAGGGGAATGTGTTACGGACTAGATGAATCTGGCCATCAGTAATCTTCTCTTCTAACATAGATATTTGCTCTTTTAGATTGGTTGTACCTGCCATCATTCCACTCCTTTAACTTGTGAGGACGCTGTAGTGTTAACCCTTGCCTTATACTTCGCTATTGCGATATACAATGACATCTGAAAAACAATTGTTTGTAGCTCATTTGGATGAAGAGATTGAACAGAATCCCCAGCGGGCCAGAGCCGTCCTAGACGAATTATTTGCCATTGTAAAAGAAAAAGCTACCACGCAAGATCTTTGTGAAATACGCAGACAAGAGACTAAATACATTGACGAAATTGAAACCTATGATGCACAAGTGGGAGAACAAGCTACTTTCCATCAGTTGTACAAAGACATGATGACTGCCTTTCTGGGTTATGTCAAGTATTTACAAATCAAATACCGCGCTGTGTGAGTAAATAAACCATATGCAAATGTTGTATTTAATTCCCCCGCCATCTTGGATTCTTTTGTTGTCATTATTTTGAGAAAACCGTTATTTTTAAAAAACTGACTTCATGAACCTTCGCGATAACCCTAACCCTAAAAAAAAACCCTAACCCTAAAACCCTAACCCTAAAACCTTAAACCCTAACACCAAAACCCTAAACCCTAACCCTTACCCTCGTACACCTACGCGGTATGAATAACTAATTAGACCTAGCTCGGCCGAGACACTCGGACCCAGGCCTCTCGGTTTTACCCATAAGGGCCCCTTATACTACTCACGATTCTGGCGGCTCGCCGCTGAACTCCTTAAATATCTTGAGTGTTTTATAGTATGTGGGTCCCACACACTGCAGACGTATTCTAGACATGGGTGGACGAGGGTGAGCTATACCTGACTTTTAACACTTTCTGGACAGGAATAAAGATTACGTCTGATGAAACCAAGGGACCGGTTAGCCTTCCCTATAATATTCTCTATATAAAAGCTCCAATTCAGATTGGAAGACAATTCAATTCTCAAGTAAGGATGGTGAGATACAGATTCCAGTGGAATCCCGTTCAATGTGTATTAATGGATGATTGGACTTTTTGATCGATTAACATTCAAGAGCTTACATTTGTCACGATTGAGGGACATTTGCCAAAGATTGGTCCAGGCGACTAAGCTGTCATGGTCTTGCTGTATGGTATTGGCGTCATCCTTGCTGCTCACGGTTGCATATAAGAGAGTAGGGAGCTTAAGATCCGACGACGGCAGACATCTGGGACGGCAGACTTGGTCGAGGGGGCTTGGGGAGAGGTCGTCGTTACCATGGCGCGAAAAATAGCCTTAAGATAGCGCGCACGACGGCGGCTGTAGTAGCTTTCCTCTTCGAAGTTAATTTAGGAAAAGCAATGGCTACCTTTAGAAAGGCTCGTGAATTGTTGATAACAAGTTTTGATGATGGTGACATTTCAGAAGATGAATTTTTACTTTTGTACGATGCCAACACTTCAAAGAATCTCGATTATCCCTACCAGAATTACGAACATTTTGACCTGGAAGGACTCGACGAAAGTGAGTGCTTGGCAGAGTTTCGTTTCCGAAAGAGGGATATACCTGTTCTCGCAGACGCATTGGGGCTGCCTGATTCGTATACATGTGAACAAGAGACTGTATGTGATGGAATTGAAGGCCTTTGTCTTTTGTTGAGAAGATTAGCGTACCCTTGTAGGTACAGTGACCTAATCCATCGTTTTGGCCGCCCAGTACCAGAAATTTGTATGATCACTAATCATGTACTGGAAACTGTGTACGGCTTACATCATCACCGTCTGACAGCATGGAACCACACCTTAATGAGCCCCCCTCTACTTCAGAATTATGCTGATGCCATACAAAGGAAAGGGAGTCCCCTGCCGAATTGCTTTGGCTTCATAGATGGTACAGTAAGACCCATTTGCCGACCACAGGAAAACCAAGGAATTGTCTACAACGGACACAAAAGAGTCCACGGATTGAAATACCAATCTGTTGCATTGCCCTGTGGTATAATAGCCAACATGTACGGGCCAGTAGGTAATGGAAATTATTCCTTTCAATTTTCAGTCACATGAGAACCATCTGTCACACAGTAAATACAAACAGAGTGATAGATAGGTGAAAGTAGTTTTAGGTGTGAAACATATCAAGTAGTATAAAAAACGCATTTTTTAAGTACAGAACACAATTTTCAATCAAAATGTGCATTTTCTTCCAGAGGGCCGCAAACACGATGCTGGAATGTTAGCTGATTCTGGCCTTCTGCGAATCCTTGAACACCATGCTTTTTCTCCCACTGGTAACCCTATGGCCTTATATGGTGACCCTGTTACCCATTAAGAGTTCACCTTGTTGTGCCATATCGCGCTGCAGGTATCACTCTTCAGATGGAAGAGTTTAACGAGTAAATGAGCAGTCTCCGCATTTCAGTAGAATGGCTTTTTGGGGATAGTGTTCACTATTTTAAATTTGTGGATTTTAAGAAAACTCAAAAGATATCACTGAGTGCGGTGGGAAAGATGCACATTGTATGTGCAATTTTAAGGAATGCCATGACTTGCTTGTATGGTAATTTTACATCAGATTTCTTTGACATTGACCCGCCAACCGTTCAGGATTATTCTTCCTGACAATTAAAATTATTTGTACCCTGAAATGGATTTCAGTGATAAATTAACGTGAAAGACACAAGTGATCAATAAGATGTAGCAGTGTATGTCTGCAGCCTGCCAATAAACTACTGTTTAAAGTTTTGGTATTTATTCTGTAGTATTTGTAGTCAGGTCAACTGATGTATAACAACAACTATAATTAATTTCAAAGGGGTTCCGAATTCATTTCAGAGGGTACAAGGTATAACAACACCAGGGGGAGAGCAGAGGAGTAAGCGGACCTTCCCAACAAAATTCACAGAAAATGCTCCAAAATTGCAACGGACCCCCCCCCCCTAATATCAATCCTCTTTAATGTTACAAAAACTTAGTCACAAACCCTCCAAATTGAAACAAAACACAGGGTAGAACCTCTACAAAAGGATTTAACGCGTTCCTGTTTCTCAATGTTTTTCTAAAAGCCTCAAAATGATTTGAGACTGCTGTTGTTGCATGGCAGCAAACATCTGCTGAAACTGTTGTATTTGATTCTGTTGCTGCTGGACTTGCTGGGCCATCATTTGCATCAATTCTTGATGTTGCTTTTGAGACTCAACTTGCTTTCTTCTCTCCACGTCCAGGCGCTGCATCTGCAATTTCAACTCTTCAGCTTTCCATTTCTGAACCATATCATTTTTCTCACGTAGATATGCCACTGTGTCCCCACCACTATTCCTTGTGACTTTTTGCTTAGGTTGTGCATTCTCTACGTCCTCGACTTCATCACCATCCTTTCTTTTCTGTGTTGAACGCATGCTCTCCATTGCTCTATTCCGCTTCTCGCCAGCTCTGGCATTATCCTCCTTTTTCTTGTCAACTTCCAGACTGTTTTCAGCATCAGCCTCCATTTCCAGTATTTCCTCTAAAGCTTTCTCAACGTCACTCATGTCAGTCTCAATTCCGCTGGCCTCTTTCTCTTCTTTTAACTTTTTCTTTAATTTTTCAATGAGTAGCGTGTAACGCTCTCTCATCGAGCGCTTATTAACTTTAAATGTTGGAATTTTCAAGGAGTTGAGACTACTGGCAATTTTTTCCCAAATCTGCCCTCTTGCGATACTTCCCTTTTTAGTTTTGAAGGGCTCTAGAGCCAGAATTTCTTGACAGAGAGAGTGGTCATGGTCATCTGTCCACTCCATGTTGGATCTATATTTTGAGAAAATATAACTTATGTTTAAAAAATCGTGGTGAGTCTGCTAACTTAGCTTCAATTTCAACCACTTAGTTCAGTTCAGAACTCTCTAAAATAAATCAGAGCATTCTTGTTTATGTATGTCGTGGTTCAAATTTTTCTTTGGTTTAAAAATGCTCAAACGACGTTAATTTTGTAATAGATACGAGACAAAGGACGACCCGAATAAAAACTGGTTTGAATCTTTTAAACACAGGAGAATTTGAATCATAACATGGAAAACAGCATAATACAGGTATAATCTTATCTTGTTGATAAATGTTTAACCAATTTCCAGCAGCAAACTATCAGTTTCACGCCGAATCAAAGACGTTTTTTATGGCTTGAAAAACATTACGGAAACTGTTGATTATGAAAATTTTCTCAGATAAGCCTTGTTGTTAAACTCGAGAATAGACAAATAGAATAATATCATGCCCATAAATTAAAGCCAGAACAAGTTTACAAATTTTTCATTGAAATAAAGAGAAATACTGAAATTGTAAAACTTACTGGGTTGCTTTCTTTGTTGACATCGACCCAGTACTAGTGATGAACTGTTAATGAGAAAGGCAAATGAATAAAGTTAAAATTTCCTCTAACAAATCGTTTATTTTTGCTTAGCTATCTCACAGACATCCTCTGTTAACAATAAACTGTCAAAATTGCCAACAATTTACGCTCAAAGTAAGTTGAAATGGCTTTGTTTTGTTAAACTTTACTCACGTTCTAGCCGCGACGGCAAAATGGCTTTCTTCATGCCACAGACAAGGCCGCGACGGCGGGAAACCTCCCAACGACGGCAACCGGAAGTAATTCTGGCAGTAACTTCATTTCCGCTTGCCGTCCCAGATGTCTGCCGTCGTAGGATCTTAAGCTCGTTAGGAATCATCGGCGAAGAGACGAATATGGGACTGTATATTTACACCTATATCGTTAATGTAAATAGGAAACATTAAGTGGCCAGAAATGACTAGAACAGGTGCTGATTTGACTCCTTCCTCTAAGACCGATTGTTCCCTATAGCAAAGCCAAGCTTGAATCCACTAATTGATTGAACCTTGTATGCCGTAATGGTGTAGCTTGGGTAGAAGGCGTTGGTGTGGGACGGTGTCAAACGCTTTGGCAAAGTCTAACAGGATGACATCGCTTTGTTTGCCATGATCAAGGTTTTTAGTAAGATCTTCGAGGGTGATGAGTGGTTGGTTTTCACGCGAACGAGATTTGCGAAAACCATGTTGGATATCGGATAGAATCTTTAACTCCTCAAGGTGGGTCATAATGTGGCTAAATATGATGCGTTCCATGATCTTACAGGAAACAGAGGTAAGGGAGATGGGCCTGTAGTTCAAAGCGAGTGACCTGTCTCCTTTTTTGAAGATTGCATGTACGTTTGCTTTTTTCCAGTCAAAGGGGACGTCCCCAATCTGCAGTGATGATGCGAAAAACCGTTGCAGGAATTTTGTGCATCAATAGCAAACATTGAGAATAAATACCTGTCTGAGTTACCTGTCATTTTGAGTTTTGAGTCTAATGTTAACACATATGGCAACTGCAATGAAAGTCCTTTTTACACAGCACAGTAAAATGTATATGTGTATTACTTGCATATTCATGCTTGTATCATATACATTTGGATATTCTTGAGAATATTACTTTATGAAAACGATCTATTTGAAATGTAGCTGGAAGTTTTTGCTATTTCTAGATTATCTCCTGGATCTGATGACTTCCTGTTCTTAGTTTTTTTCTTGGAGGTGGCAAGTTGAGCTGCTCACAGGAGAGAAACGTATCTTCCAGATCCTCCAATTTGTCTGCCTAGAGCTTTGCTTCGTTCTCCAGGAACTTCTTTAAAGAAAAATGATGTGGACGTCAGTTTGCAATGTGAAACCTGCTTCAAATTTGTAATTATTCACTTACAGAAAGCGCACATCTGCAAAATACAGATAATATTATAATCACCTTTCCTATCTTCCAGGCACACTTCTTTCTGGCATATGCCGTAGTCCCTTGTAAATTTTCCACTTTTCAGGATGTTCTCAATGTACTAGGTGGTATATTTATGTAACCAAAAGGTTGTCATTGTTTCTGAAGAATTTAATTTGCATCATTTTAATCAATAGGCTATTTACCAGAAAATGATGCAACACTGATGTTGTTCTTGTTCTCGGCAGTCTGCTGGCCCTGACGGAGCTTCACTGTTATTCTCTCTCTACCTCTTGGCATCTCGGGGCCATATAGGGTAAGGGCTTTATTGCAGTCACTCGGGGAATTGCGTCTATATGCAAAAAAACCAAGGGAACCAAGTAGTTGTTCAGTGGGTCTCATTTTGCTTGGAAGAGCACAGAGACAAATGTTGCTTAACTCATCTAACAGAAAAGTCAAATCATCTCTAATTCCTGTCCACCTGAAGAAAATAACATTGTTTAAGGTTATTTTATGTTGTATAACATTTTCAAAAGAATACTGTTGCTGTTGTTTGTGATGAAGTACATACTGCTGTTCATTGGTGAGTACAATAACCCTAATGCACACCTAATAGGTTAGGCCATTCCACTGAACAGATTAAAATTAATGATCTGTTTGAAGCTGAAGATTTGCACAGTACTGAAAAACTACAAAACCTATTAAATCTGTGCTGGTAGAGAGGTAGTCTGTGACAAGTATGCGAACAAATGTTACTGACCACATCCTTTTTTCAAATCTACCTCCTCTGAAAAAAAATATTCTGACTGAGATCAACAAGATTATTTGGTGTGTGTAGCAGTTAGGCTGATATACACAACTATGTTGTACAACGGTGTAAAGATATCTTCGAAATAACCTGGTAAATTCTACATGTAAGAAACACAGGCTCAGCCATTTTCTCCATTTCCTGACCATGCTGCTAACCTTTTCCATGTCGGGGGTGAAAATTCCGATATAAAGAAAGAAAGATCCTTTTCGTAAGTGGTGTGGCCTTGTTGGAGAAATAAGGTATCTTCTGCCATAAGAAGTTCCGCTATTGGCCTTGACTGCAACTGCTACAGCAGCCACCAGACAGAAAATCATGGAGCTCTTTAGTTTCTTATCAATAAAGATTTGGAAATGCGAAGACAAGCAAAAACCAACGATAAAAACCGACGCTTCGGTGTCATCATGACGCCAATGTCAAGGAGAAGTAAAAATTACAAAGTTTGCGGCAAGGTGTAACACTAAATTAGCATAAATATGTTAGGAGCTAATTATACAAGTACTTTTGCGTGAATTGAATCGCTTTGCACGTTCAGAGTGGGTTTTAGTTTGGTTTCTTTAGTTTCAAACAAGGTATTCAAATCATTGTCAGCCGAAACAGGAAGAATGTGAAATTGGTTGTTAAAAAGGTAACAACTGACATTGGAATTTTTCTTGGTTGGCTTAGGAGGTCACCACTAAAGGGGTTGAATGTCCAAGAACTTTGATTTATGTTAGAAATTATCAGACTTGTCGCCTACTGGCCCAAAAGTTCCTTGAAAAAATCAGCAAATAGGACGATTGCAATGTATCACAGTGGAACAACATTAAAAATCTAGCAGCATGTCTTATCATCCTCGAAATATCCACATGGCAGTGGTCGAATCATCATTGCAACCAGTGCTCTTGGTATGGGAGTGGATATGAAACGTCAGCATCGGGTTATTAATTATGGTCCTCCAAACAATATTGAAGCATATTTGCAGGCATTTGGTAGAGAAGGTAATTCTGAGGCATTACATCTCTTTCATGTGATTATCATCTTTCACATTGCTAGGATGAGAATATTAAATAAACAATTTTGCTTTCAAATTTAACAATGGCAATCATGTAATGAGGAAAGTATGGAATAAATGTCTTAAAACAAACCCTTTTTCTTGTGCGACCAAGGAAGAGAGAAAGAGTACAAAGATGATAAACAGCAGACATTTTTGCATTTCTTGCCTTTAATAGCAATGCACCAGCAGATCCAATTGTAGGCTTGAGTGATTGCATTTTCATCTGCGAATACTGGAACGACACTGCAATTGCCCTTAGAACCTTGTAAAGAATAGGTGCCTCCCTTTTCCACTCTTTCATAAGATTAGACCATTTAAATTCCTTCAGATCCTCTAGAGACTGCATTTTAATACTGATTTTTTTCTCATAATTTTCCTGCATTCCTTGTCCAACTCCAAGCAAGAGCGGTCGATCAGTGCCTTGCACAACTGTTTGTATTTAAAAGCTTCCAAAGCAAAAGCTGATGTGGTCTTAGCCTTGCAAAGAGCAATCCCCAAGCTTTGCAAATTTGTTGGCAGTTCCTTTGAAATGGTTTTTTTGGGGTGATAAACAATAATCTGAATGTGAAAGATAAGTAAGGTTGTTAAATATCTTATTTATGGAAACATTCAAAAAGAAAATTAACCATAAATCCTATTAAAAACTGTACACATCTATAGGCAGGGCTGGTACCAGGTTTTTGTCGAGTTTTCACAACTGCATTTGATGCAGGGGTGTGTCTGCATTTGTATTTGCTATTTCTCTCACTTTCTAATGAAAACTGAGATTATTGAAAAGTAGTGGCAACTATTTTTATTAGGCTATTTAATTTGGTACTATAATGACACACTTTGTAAAATGTCAGCTTAGTACAGGGTCATCTACCCACATCTAATAAACAAAAGCTTCCGCACTTAGCTTTTCTTTGTTTTTTTCAACATAGGTTGTATCGCATTTGTGCATACTCTGACAACTGTTCCTTTATTATAAACTGGGAAACAGCAACAATTTGATTTTCTTGTTTGGGTACTCTGCTTACAGGAAATTTTTAGCGATGCCTCTTTGTTGGTATCTGACACTACTGAGGCAAACTTTCAAATTGGATTCAAAAGACTTGCAGCGTAAGGCCCGTTTAAATGGTTTCAACATTTGACCAACATTCATTCAACAAAAGTTGAACGGATGTTGAGCAACAACAATTTATTTCAAAAACAACAA